CCGCCCTCTGGTGCTCGCAGTCTTGTTTATTATCTATACTCTACATAAAGCGGCTCACAGACGGAGAGCTGTAGTCGAAATCATGTCCGTGACGTGTCAGTGACAGAGGCTGGACTAAGGCTTCGTCCAGATGTACACAGATATTTTTTAAAAACTTCTATGGGTCGTGGCCTTTTATCCAAACTTTTACAAAACTGTGTTCACGGTGAAGATATTCAGAATCTAAGTTTGCAGTGTCGATGTAATGTGTGGTGATGCAACGGCAGATGTGGCCAGAACAGTGCTGGTGCTGATCCTGCTAGCAGGACTCTTCACATTTGCACTTAGACCCATCAGCCAAAATACTGAAACCACTGACAGATGAAGTGAAGAACACTGATCATCTTGTTTTGCTAGGAAACGTTTGGACCTGACGTTTCATGTCGATGTCCTTTTGCACTTTCTGATGGCCTCCCTCAGCAAGACAACTGCCAACACTGCTTGAGGAACTCGACAAGGAGTCCAAGGAGTTAATCCAGCCTCCAGGTTCTCCAGGTCCCAGGATGCTCCAGCTTAATCCACCGAGGTCCCACCCCACAACCCACAGAAGCTAGAGAATCCACTGATGAAGTCCCAGCGCCAGACTCCACAGAGCCCCTCCAGAGGTCCCAGGTGTACGACCTTCCAGGTAAGAGCTGCTTTGGTGTCATAAGGGGGATCTAAACGATATGTGGCCGATGATTTTAATGTTTTACGGATGTCACAGCTGATGTCAGAGATCAGGATCAGAGACTATCACAGCATTTTTTAACTTGCCAGCATCTGCTTTTGATGATGATGTGTGTCAGGATGAAAACGTGTCTGAACACAGTATTAAGATACTACGACTGTCTAGAGGACAATAAGTGTCACAGATGTCACTGCAGCTAATGTACAATTCATGTTCTGACATGTGCATAGCAAATACAGCATTTTGCCGTCTTCTTGAGCTTCGGCATTATTTTGGAAAATGGTGCTGGATTAGGATTTGGTGTTGTCAGATACTGAATATTAAATGACGGACTTGATCTGGACATCCCTTGTTTTGCTGATGGGCGTAAACGTACATTCACTGTCTGTGGTTTGGCTTTTCTCGTGGCTTCAATGATGCTTTATTGTTTTTCATGTGGACTGAGATTTTTTTTCTAAGAACAGAGGGTTTAAAAACCATATTTTAAAAACATATTCACGTTCACGTGGACGAGGTTTGAGAAAGCAGCTGAATCTGACCTGGTCAACGTTGGCATCGGTGTGTTCAGATAAACCAGCAGGTCACAGAATACATATACGCTGTCAAAGCATGGAAACCAGAGCGCACTGAAGCAGACAGTGCTGCATTTTTATGACTTGTACATGGTAGCATGTGCTATGGGGGGAGTTTAACACTGAACAGGATGTGTACACACCACATACATCTGTTCCTCTGGCAGCGATAAAGTACATCATTTGTATTTTCAAGGAACTTTTGCGTCCAAAACTGTGAGAAAAAGATGCTTTCTGTGTTGCCTGTTGTCTTTGTTCTGACTGACACACAAGCTGCTGGTGGGAGATCAGTACTGAACCATGCATGTAACCCACTGAAGGCCCGTTTGAACTGTGTGATATTTCCAAACAGTTTCCACTTTGAAAGAACACCATGCTGGCAGTTTGAGCTCATTTAGGATGATGCTGAACACCCTCTCATGCATCATTAAATGCTCACTGATAGCCCTTCACACGACATGGAGCACCTTCTGTTCTGGTTCCCCACTTCATTTTGAGCCACTGGGTTCAGAACCTGGACAGTTCCCAGCTTTAATCCTTGACCTGAAATGCCACAACATGAGCGGGACTGTCATACCCTGTTGATTTGAAAGAAAGAAAGTGCAGCACCCCCCTGTTGTTGTTGAGGCATTCTTGATTCACTTATTCAAACCCAAGATCCAAGAATCCTGAATGAAACCAGTTCAAGAACCAGAGCTAATGTGGTAGAAAATGTGTATGAGAGCGTTTACTTCTTCGTGGTCGGTGGGCGATTTGAGGAGATGATGAAAAGAAAATTACCAGGATGCATTCTCCTTGTTAACCTGCCAGCAGAGCGTCCCCGCTGTCAGAAAATAATAAATCATCTGTGGTTCCTGAATGCTCCCAGTTCTAGTAGTAAAACGGCCTCCTGCTGTACTCCAGACCAGAACTAAACTTCCAGCTCCGCCACTGTAGAGACACAAGAATGTAGTCGTGCTGTTGGACTTTTGATCCACTGAACCGCATCCGACGCACTCGCAGCTGCCAGCGAATGACGGCGAACAGGAGGGTCGAGGCTAACAGTCGAAACACCTGAAGTTTGAGCCACTGAGCCCTCATTTGACTTGAGAGGAGCTGTTTGCCGGCAGCTCCGTCTGGATGGTGGAGATTTTCTCTCCGATCATTTCCAGCGAGCGCTCCCCTTGCGATGACGTCGAAGGGCCTTTCTCCGCCGAGTGCGGCTCCATGCTGCTGCCGTCGTCCGGTTTGATGAAGGCCTCTCTGCTTTGGGGTTTGATGAACTGCACGCTCAGTCTGGGCGCCACCACGGCGTCCACCTGCTGGTTGGGCTTCCGGACGCAGTGGGAGAGGGTGGACACGCAGCTCTTCTTGAAGTTCTCGTTCATGAAGGCGTAGACGATGGGGTTGTTGAAGCTGTTGAAGAACCCGATGGCCTGAACGATGGCGACGATCATGTTGAGCGTGACTCCGTCGTATTTCTTCTCCAGGTCATCTAGACGTACAGACAGAGAGATGGAGGAGTCAAACTGATGCATGATGGGAGGCTTGAGGCTCTATGGACCTTACAGTACTTACAGTACTCAAACAGCATGTGGACTGTGTGGAACGGTGCCCAGCAAATGGTGAAGAGCAGCACGATGGTGATCATCATTTTGACGGCTCTCTTCTTTTTCCTGCAGAAGGTTAAAGCAAAAATCATCTAAACGAGATGAAAGTCTTTCCTGTCATAGCCTGAAAGTAACAAGGGCAGCTGATGACATTAATGAAGGTGTTGGTTTTTTTTCCTATTGACGTGTGAAAGTGAGCTGCAGCAGAGAGTCGAGGCGAAACAAATCACAACCCTGACACTGAAAAGGACTCCTTTTTTTGTACAAACAGTTTAAATCAAGCAGTTTTTCTGTTTCCCAAGTGAAAAAGGTTAGTCATGGCTGAGGTCTGTCACTAACTGAATAAAATTTAAATCGAACTTCTCTGCTGACAGATTCCAACAAGGACACCAATCAGACATCACTCCATATGTGCTTCATAAAATTCCACTTTGCACTTGTGTAGGTTCCATTTAGAATCATCAGCAGCTTCAAACAGGTATTTAATGTCAGCTTGAATCAACTTTTATTCTCTACCTGCCGTCTATAGTCATCGTTGTGGGATAGCAAGATAGAGCTATGTAAGATCATCAGTCTTAACACTGACAACAACTCGAAGCTCTTCTGAACTGGACTGAACTGCAGGCAGTGTAGAGTCGATGGGGATACGTATGGAAACCAATAAAAATACAAGAAATAAAATATCTACAGCACGTAGGAACCGTTTTTTTCCTTTTTTTCCTCCAGTACCGGCTGCTACAGGATGTGAGTGACTCTCTCCATTTGTCAAACATAGATGCTTTTTGACTTTAAAGCACAACTTTTTGCTTCACTGTTGAGTGAAATCATCTGTAGCCTCTCTGTAAACTTGACCTGACCAACCAGTAGGAGTCCAGCATAACAGCAAGGACCTCAGAGCCCGTCCTTGGCTTCCCACCTGCAACCAAAGCCCATTTCCCTAACAGGGATGCCAACCTACGGAGCCCCTAAAGGGACATGTCAGAGAAAAAAAATATCTCAAGTTGCAGCCGGCTGCACGTAAAGATCGATGTGATTCATAAAGAACGGAGGACGTCGCATTTTGGGGAAAAAATCGTTTTTAGCCGGTTGTAGGTTGTGGTCTGTACGACAGCGTTTGGAAAGAGGTGCCGTTTGATTTAAAACAGCAATCTGCTTTGGAGTTATTGAGGCTGGAAGTTCGAATTCTTGAATCTTGTTCCAACTTTACTGAACTCTTGTTCCAAAGAGAAACGTATCCTAAAACCTCTGCGTACGGGATACTTCAGGGTTTTTTTCTCCAACATGTCCCTTCAGGGGCTCCGTACCAACCAAAATAAAAATAAATTCTACCTGCTGAGAGACGTGATGATCAGATAAAACCTTTTTGTGTGGTCACCCCAGGCGCCTCACCTACCTTGAGATCTTGTTGATCTCCCTGTGGTTCATGGTGTTGAGGACTGAGGTGTCGCCGACCCGCTTGCGGATCCACAGCTCGATGCCGATGCGCGTGTAGAGGAACAGCATGGCGGCCAGAGGCAGCAGGAAAAGGGCCACCATGATGAAGGTGGTGTAAACCTGCCGGTGGGTGACAGACGTCCAGCTCTCCTGGCAGCACACGTGGTAGTGATCATACAGGAAGTCGTACTTCACCTGAGAGAGGGAGAACAACCCAGACAGACGGCGGGTTCTGACTGACATACTCGCTTGAGGCTTTGTGACACATTTGATGTATAGTTTGTTTGTTTTTCTCAACATTTTGTCCCCTTTTGATTTGATTTTCGAGCGCCCATGGAGGCTCAGACGTGTGCTGCATCCTCCAACCAGCCAATAGGAGTTTCTGAAGCAGCTCAACAAAGCTCCCATTGCAGAGATGCTTGAAGCGGGTTTCTTTGATTAAAAGCTGTTTGAAGGCTTCAATGCACACATCAGTGTGTGAATATAACCTCCATGACTGTGTACTCGCTGACTTCTATAGGCAAGAGTGTGTCTGTGAATTTCAATGTGACTGTACAATAGTCACTTTGTCTGATATTAAATCACATCTCACCGCCAAGAATCCTCAGAACAGGCCGTCTAGTACCGCTGTGGAGAAGATAAACGTCGTATGCTTGTGTTTTATTTCTGTCTTCTCAAATTTCAGCAGCAGTTAAGAACTTTCAGAGCAGAGTCACCAAACATCAGTGACTCATTGCTGTAAGGCTGGTATTTACGCTCCAATTTGCAGTTTCGATTACACGGAAGTAAAAGTGTAAAAGTATTTTCCTGAGTTTATCAAATGAGTCGTACGCCTGCTGACAGACATTTATTGTGTTTCAAACTCGTGTCCTACAGTCGTAGAGCTCACTGAATATGAGGACATATTTTTCAGGTGGAAATTTCAGAGAACAGTTGTTTGCTTCCTATTTCAGACCGTAACTCTTCAACTGGATGCTGAGGTGCTTTTTAATCTGCAGCATCAGAAACTTTTCTCGGACACTTTCTAGGTTTTGCTCCACCGACGCTGGCTCCCCTCCTGAGCTCTGGCGATTAATCAATGCTAGTTGACGCAAAGCGCATCGCTAACAGTGTACCAGAGCAGGAACGTTGCCAGATTTAAAACTCCGACACCCCGCAGAGGCATTGACCCGCTGCTGTTAGCTTCAGGCTTGAACGTTCAGTTAGTGCCTATTTGAACCTCCTCCGTGGGGCACAGTGGGACCTCTGTCAGGAATGTGAACGCCTTTGAAGAAATTTCCATTTTCTTATGTGCAAGATAGAGTTATGTAAGATCATCAGGCTTAATATCGACAACAATTCGAAGCTCTTCTGAGATGAATTCAGCTTTTGACACTCACTCGTATCAAGGGTGTGATTTTGCTGTGCAGTCACAGCTGAAAGAAACCATAGAAAGCAATTCTGTCATTGCATCTGAAGGGCACTTACCTTTAGCTGCTGCACAAATAGCATCGGCGAACCCACTATCACCGAGGCGATCCATACAAGCCCTGCAGACACGAGGCAGACAGGTTTGTAATATGGTCAGATACAATCTGCAGATACAACTCCTGGTTCCAAAGACCGACTACACAGGATATACAATTTGATAAATGCACCGGCTGCCAAGGACCTTCAAGGAGAGCAACCTCTGTGTGATTAATACCAAACCGGAGACGCAGCAGCTACAAAATTAAATTCCTTTCTTGTATAATGAACTAGCTGTCAATCACGTGCAGCCTTGAAAATTCTCCTCCATATTTCTTTGTTCTTAACTCCAACAGTGAAAATCCAAAAACAATCTGATTTCCTGCAGCAGGCTGCACAAACTTAATGTAATGTCACTGTTTAGTTTTTGTACACGAGACACAGAGTTCAATAACTTACAGATAGTGGAAGTTTTCATCATTTCAGATATGAAAGCACTGTGTTTAACAGCATAAGTTTATATTCTCTGGTGAACGTTCTCACTCTAACTAGATGATAAACACAATACACTATCTACACAGTTTTTCCCACATGAGCGCTCTGGGAACGCTGAAATGTCCTAATTCATGAGATGTCACAAATATTTACCTTTTTTTTTTTCTCAGAATGACACTGATGGCAATATATGAGATATGATCGCTGCCTTATGCCAGCAAACCTGATAAAGCTTCATGAAATGCCGCCTGGATAACCTTTATTTACTCATTTCTCTTTGCACATCAGCCGACACACACGCACAGAAACCGCCACCTTCTACTGATGTTGATTGATATCAGCACTTGAGATGCATAATTTACATGTTTTATTGTGCACCGGTAAGAATGCAAATGCGCTTTATGTTTACTTGCAGGGAAGATTGAAAAAATCTATCCTCTATTGGGCGGATCTGGGTCCCGTCATCCATCGGTAAACAAAACAATATGGTCTTAGTGGATTTGCAGTTTTGCACACGATCAACACAAGTGAACGTGGTGAGAATCTAGCAGGTGACTACGGTGCTTGTGAAGAAACTGCAGCAGAGAAAGCAGAAGGATTACCTTCACCTCACATCACTGGCATTTGTTGTTGCGTGTTACTGGCCTAATTAATAGACAAACATGGTGTCTGCATTCTTTGAAGAATTAAAGCCGTCTCACTCAAACGTGCACAGAGACGTTTTCTGGTACCTTATACTTGCACGGCTTTTTGTCATCTTCACCGCTCTGTTTCAGAACATCAGAAGGTTGCCATGAGTAACCAGAGGTTGCAGAGGCTTTATGAGCAGCTGACACAGACTGACCGATCTGGTCTGCTCATAAGGCAAGCAGAGGCTATCTAGCTGCATGAAAGGAAAAGCATGCAAACATGTTTTCTGTCTAAATCCATGTTGGTGTGAAACAAACAGCAATGCATCAGGTGCATGTTTGTTTCCATGTTTTTGTTGAATGCGTTTTACCAGGAAACACCCACAGAAACATTTGCATGCGTCTTTGTCGAAGGATTATTCTTGCAGTAATTGAATCTTGTAGAAATGCAGCGTTCATCCTGAGTGGTAGACACCCACAGAAGGAACAAAGTGGCCAATGTGCACAAGTGAATTCGCTCCATGCTCGTACACCAGAGGCTGAACCGGTGCTTATTTACTGTTCATCAGCCTTTTTTTCATTCACAAAACAGAGGTTGCTCTCCTAAAGGCATAATAAGCCACACTTCTGCAAACACACAATACCGAGCATCTTGAACGCTCTCTGGGACGAGTACTGCCGCCTCATTCTCAGCGGGAACACAATGCCCTGGTATCTCTCGATGGCTATGCAGGTCATTGTGAGGATGCCTGTCACTATGGCTGTGGTCTGCACAAAGGGAACCGTCTTGCAAACCAGAACTCCTGCAGGAAGATCAAAACAGCACAGGGATTAGAAGCAGTGGGGTACCGAGAAACAGAACAAAACATGCATTTCTGTTAACACTTCACTCTTGTTAGTGGGTCAAAGGATGGAATCAGGCACGACCTCTTCCTCGCCCTTTAGTCTTCCTGTGGGGACTTTCACTGAAACCACAATCGAGGCTGATTACACAACACGGCCATCGCGCATATTTCACACGTAATGAAGCCCACGAGCCGAGCCCAGCGTGCTGCTCTCTGGACTAATTGTGACCACCTTTCAGTGGAGGCACATGCTTTGAGCTCGCTGTGATCTCGCTGTGATACACTGAATGCCTGCTGCTGCTGGTCACAGTGATTAGAACCACTAAGCAGACGTGCAGCAGTTTGTTCACATAAGGCTGAAAAAAAAACCTCTCACTTGCTGCTGACAGAAGACGGAGCACGCTGTCAGGTGTTGACACAGTAACCGAAAACCCGTCAAATGTGAGGAGATCTAATAGTATGCAATAGGAACAGCTTGTTATACGACGAGGTGGCGGAACCTCTAACTGGAGGATAGACGCTCCAGTTAGAATAACTGGAGGAAAAAACCCTGAACCAGTGCTCTGACTGAGGGGTTTTGCAGGAGTATTGCATTAGGTTAGAATTAGAATTCCCATTTTTAGGGAGATTATTGGACTCTTGCAACTTATTTTTGAACTAAAATATAGATTTGCATGTTTTTTCCATGCAGGTCTCTCCTATAGTGGAATAAATCTGTTCCTACTGTCATGATTTATGTATGCTACAGAATTCAGCTTCCATCTACAACTCACCACTCTTACTTTGAAAAGAACATTTTTAAAAAAAACAAAACTGTGAACTTTCAGTGTGACATTAGCTTCCTGCCTGTCTGTGCTCATTCTGAGCTGATGCTGATCATTTGTTTTGCAGTTTTCACCATAAAGTGTTCATATTATTGTGTCCACTTTCTGCAAAGTTCAATACGAGCGTCGCAGCTCTCCTCACGGTCCCACATCTTCTGTTATATGAAGAGAAGCTGCCTTTATCTGTCGTTGTGACAGAGTTGTCCTCTGTGCAGCGACGTCGGCTGGTTTCATTGTTTTTCTTTAAATAGACCGTTCACATCACTGAGCTCCTCAAATTCCTCATAGTTGAGGGAAAATATGATGTCAGGTAGGAGCCAGCAGCACCTCAACACCTCCCTCCAGCTTTCTGACTCAAAGTGGGCTTTTTTTTTTTTTTTTAACCTTTCCACAGTTTAGCCTGAAGGAGACACCAGGGCTCATGTGTCATTTAGAAGCATCAGCTCCTGCTGAGGCACTCTGGGCTTTCTTTAAAAGTTCATTCCTGGAAGGGATCTATAGGCTGTTTGCTTGCTGGCTGAGATCATTTGTGCTGTTTGCTTTTGGCTCATGACTGGACTGTGAGTGGCTGCTTGTCATTGTGCTTCAGTTTACTCATTGCAAGCAGCAGACTTCTTCCTAATGCATGCAGCATTATTAAGCACCTTCTAAATCTCAGTGCACTCCGTTGACTTGATGCATGTGACTGTTTAATGTAATGCAAACAGATATTAAGGCGATCTTTTTTTTTTTTTCTCCACAGTAAGTCAGATTTCTCATCGTACATGTGAGACTCAGTCACACCGCAGCAGCAGCTTTTGCATTCATTTGCATTATTCTGATCATTTTTCCTCCTTTTGTGACGTGGTTTAAAAACAATAATAATAAAAAAAAGTGGGTCGAAACTCACCCCCGAACCACTCGGACGAGATGTTCTGCAGCAGCGTGAACGGGATGCAGAAGAAAGTGATGAGCAGGTCGCTGACGGCCAGCGAGCAGATGAAGATGTCCGTCGCCGTCTGGATCGCGCGCTTCTTCACTACTATGTAGATGACCAGACTGTTCCCAGCCAGAGCCAGGACGAAGATCACCACGTACATGATCACGAAGGTGGTCTTGGCGCTGTAGGGCAGCTCGGGGATGTAGACGAGCGGCTGGATGTTGTAGGTGTTGATGAACTCCTGGCGACTCAAGTTGTAGAACTGGAGCATCTCCTGCAGCACTTCTGGAGTTATTTTGGTGGATCCCTGCCCAGAGTCGGTGGAAGCTGCCGCTGCCATGGCTTCAATCCCGAGAGGAACTTATTTGAAAGAAAAAGGAAAAAACAAACCACTGAGGGTTCAGTGATGAAATCTTCTGTTGAAGCTGCAGCAGCATCTGGATGCTGCGCTGCTTCCTTCACCCTGTAAAAACCTGATGCTGCTGCTGGAGCTGTTGCTCCCCCCCCACCCCCCAGTGTGTATGTGTGTGTGTGTGTGCGTGTGTGTGTGTGTGTGTGTGTGTGTGTGTGTCTCTCTCTCTCTCTCTCTCTCTCTCTCGCTGACTGGAGGCAGGCTGACAGACCGATGATGGATCTGCTGATGAATTTGGTTTCATTGCAGATTTTAGTCACATGTATGAATATTTGCTCCTTTCTGGGCCGATGTCACAAAACACTCATTATGCAAATCATCCCAATTAGCTTGTAGGATGATAATTTTGTCATATTAACATATTTTATTATTCTAATCATTGCAGGACTAATTAAGGAAATTGAGAGTCTCCAATGGTCTCCAGCCTTTCTGCTAATAGAGAGCCCGTCACCCAGAAGCCCTACAGGCCAATTTAAAAAAAGAAAAGCTTTACTTAGATTCCCACATGTACTTGTTAAATAAAAAGATATGAATGTTTCCAAAGAATGTTTTTAACTGAAACTTTTCTGAAAGTTATTTAACAGATTGTTCATGTTTTCCCGAAACCACAGCTTAAAAAACCAAAACAAAATCTGAGATATAATTTTTTTTACATAATGTTCACTCAAATATCTGTATTGGTGTCCATCCATCCATCCATCCATCCATCCATCCATCATCTCTACACCCAGCTGACTCAGGGTGAAGGCAGGTTCACCTGGACAGGTAACCAGTCTATCACAGGGCTACACTTAGAGACAGACAACCAA